TTTAGAAAGAAAGATAATAATGACAGCAAGAAACAAGGAAGAAAAAGAGAAATCTTGATTAAGCTGCTAGAATTTTTCTTTTTCTCTCTTGAATGTCTCAGATGCAGTTACAACCTTGAAGCTGCTGTGTGTTCAATGGTAAAATACAGGCAGGTTGATTGTCACAGTATAAATACGGTGGTCATTTTGTTAATTCATTTGATTGATAAATTCGATTGATTGATTGAATGATTCATTTATTCGATTGATTGATTGATTCATTTATTGATTAATTCAATTGATTCATTTATTGATTCATTCAATTGATTCATTCATTTGATTAATTGATTCATTCATTCGATTGGTTCATTCGATTGATCGGTCGATTTACTCATTCTTTTGATTGATCTTTTTATCCATTCATTCATTCTTTTGATTGATTGATCCATTTTTTTATTCTTTTGATTTATTGATCGATTGAGCCATTCATTCTTTTGATTGATTAATCAATTGATCCATTCATTCATTTATTCTTTTAAATGATTGATTGATTCATATTTTATTTTATTTTAATGCTATGCTAACCAAGAAACTTTGGGGAGAGTCTTTGGGAAAATCAAAGATGAAAAAAAAAAAAATCACAGAGGCATTTTGCAAATGTGTTGGATGAAATAACAAAAAAAAACAGCAACAACAAAACACTGCAGCCTTAAACATGGTAATCATGGCAATGTTGATTACATGAAACCATGTGGTCAATTTTGTGATCGTTTCACATGACCAGATATTCCAGCTGATGCATCTGGCCATTTCTAGACCCTTTGAGCGACATTGGCCCTGTGGCCATGTTAGTGTTGTCTGCTAAGCAAATTGCATATGCTGCAAGCATGGATGAAATAATGTGGTTTGCGAAGTGATTCTGTCTTGTAACTGTCTTTGATCTTTGTGAGGATGAGTGGCGTAGCTTTGCATGTGAGGATTCATTCACAGAGGTGAAATGCTAGGGTTCTTTTACTGATATTCTCAGAGGCACCATGAAGCTAATTCTAATGTAAATGCCAGTCAAATGGAAGCCAGCCAGTCTCTGATGTCCGACAGCGTATGAATGCTCAAGTATTTACAGATGAGTTTCACCCACGGAGCTGACCTCCCTTGGGCGGTTTTCTAGCCATCAGGGCTGCTGCTTAATGTCATTGTTCGGCACAGAAATTGCACTCAAATGATAAGGTCTGAAGGGCATAGCGTGCCCTTGTTTATGTGCAGCTGAATTCAGGAAGTGTCTGAAAAGGTGTATTATAATACCGGTACACAAATAAAAGTTCTAAAAAGTTTTTTTTGTCCTTCCTAAGAGACGGTACAACAGCCGAAAAGATTTGAGAATCCTCTTTAAGACCATCAGATGAGCTAAAGCAAACTATAGAAGGACACCAAGCTTTTTTTTTTTCAGTCCAGCCTGAAAAGGTCTGATATGAAAGGCTCTCAGGAGAAAAGCAGCTGTTAATGGAAACTGGGTTGTTTGAGGTGGTGTGGTGTATCTCAAGGCTAATAACCAAACTGTTGCTGGTTAAGCCCCACAAGGTGTTGGCTATGAGTTTTCATCATTGTGCCAAAAAGCAGTATTTTTGTCTTGTATTGGATTGTATAATAGTTGCATTTATTAAATAAACTTGTTTTTTATTTTAAAAGTTATATAAAAACTTAGTTTTATTCTACTTTTTTCTATAAAAACATAAATGCAATAACATTTACAAAAGAAAGTTAAGTTAGAGAAGTTGTGTGCAAAAGTTTTTTAGATATTTTTTACTGGAAAAAAAATACTAAAATAGCTCTGGATTCAAATGTCTACCAAATTACTTGATGGAAAGAAATGAGGATGTTTGGCTACGTCATGTAATGAACCTGTGAATGATAAATCATTTAAGGGAGTATAATCTGTGAATGTGTTTGAGAGAGATTAAACCTATGGGCCATTCTCTTCTATATATTGACTGTTTTTAGCATGCAGTAGAAGACCTCACAGTTTAGGGGTGCATTGACACAGCAGGATGGAAGTATGCAGCTGCCACATGCAAATTGAACAAAATAGCGTCCCACCTGGCACCCGGTGGGCAGGCAGGAAGGACTTAGTCAGCACCTTTTCCAGATGCTAGGAGAAGAGAGAGGGAACATATGCCATTGTCCTGGCTTAGACCTTCTATTACTGCGAGAAAGAGGCATTCACGTTTCTTGATTACCGTCTCTCATCATTACAGAGATGTTTGTAGAGCCCTCTGACTGTCTGCTCTATGACACTTTGCCATCTGTTTTTAAAAGCATTCTCGTGTTCTAGTGCCCATCAATTAATAACAGTTTTCAGCATTCTGAAAGTTTACAACTGTCTAAAATTGATATTGTCGAGGCAGAATTATTCATTTTTGACACAAGATGATAACTCGAAATTTGAATAGCAAAATTAAATAATGCATGCATGATTATTCATTCCCTCTCTAGAGTTAAAGACAGATTAATTTTTATAAACGGAGGTTGTAAATCACATTTGAAAAACAGCACCAAGGTAAAATGGAAACTTTATTTATTTGGGTTATTTATGGGTTATTTATCTTGTGGGACTCAGGCTCATTTTTGTGTAAAGTCAGTATTTTTCAAAAGATTTTTGTTGTTTGGAAACCTACTCTTTTAAGGAAATTGCCTTATCTTGTGGCTTGCCGGAAGTGTCTTGTTTGGAACTTTAAGCTTCTTTTCTAAAGGTCTATTCTGAGCGTTTAGAGAAGATGAGGAGAAACGGCGAGCCGTGGCCATGTCAGGTGCATGTGCATCTGCATCCACTCCTCCCGAGGTGAAATCGTTTGACTGATAAGGCCAATCTTAAAATGCCACTGCTGCTTCAAGAGGAAATTAAATTTGACTTGTAAAGGACAACTCTGACTTGGCCAATTAATAATTAAAGTCATTTTTCCCTTTAATGATCAGTTTAATTACCACGTCGTCCCTCGGGACGGCAGTTTACGCCGTTGGCGCCTGGTCACGCTCCCTCCTTTGTCGTCTTCCTGAGGGGTTCAGTCACAAACAAGGTGTTGAAATTTCCATTAACCTCTTCCACATCTTTCTATCAGCCCCGTTTCATCTTCCATACCTAAAACTTGCCATGAATCGTTTGCACCTTTGACTTTAAAGCTACAAATCCGAAGAAGACGCTAATTCCAAATGGCAGCACGTAAACGCAGCGGCACCTGCGATGCTATATCAAATGCTTGGATCAACTCTCGGAATTGACGATGATAGGCCATTGTCATTCTTAATGCACGTCACAAAGATAAGAGGCACCGGTGACCTTTTTAAGTGCTATGAAAATCTAACCAATCAAATGGCATTACCGGTTTATCAATTGCGGTATTCAGCATGAAAAAGCAGTCGAACAAAGCGGCCTTTTACAAGGACTTGTTTTGACAGAGACATTTTCCTGCAGATGTTTATTCAAAGACCACATGCTGTAGCACCGCTCTGCGCCCAAGCTCTTGAGAGACGCCAGTCACTCTCATCAAAGCTCTGATATGAATGTTTGACTTGTTCGGCTTGTAAAAACTTGCATTTGATGAAGTAATCATAATGATTGTACACAAAAGCTCCCCTCCTGTTATTGGCATGTGTCATGGCTTGCTGGGTTGTCTTTGTGCGTTTGTAATTACTCTCTGCTGTCTTCTCTGTTTGTTTACCGCCTAATTCAAATTGATAGGACGACTCGGAAAGGGAGGGGGGATCTTAACTCATAGCCATCACTGTTGCTTCTTAAGTATCACAATAAAACAAGGATGATTTTAATTAGTGTAGCAACTGGTGGTGTAGCGCAGGCCCCTGCGGTGCTTGCAGGGGTCCTGTTTGAAGACGTTTTATTAATTGGACGATTTATCAAACTAACAACTTGCGTGTGTCTCGGATGACTCCTTTAAAAAACAAAGGATTTTAGAAGTCAACTTGCATTTTATGTCCTATTAGCACCGGATGCCCAGTGCTAATCAGCCGGTCCAGATAGCCGCTTGCGCTTCAGTACTTTACATAAGTTTTACCACACTTTGAAAGAATAGCTTGCTGCAAAGTGATGATGCCTACGTTTTATTGAACAGCACAGCTCTCACGATAATGGAAAAAATCTCATCTAAAAGAATCGGTAGGTTTCTTTTGTGTGGAATTGCAATGGCGTTCTGTTGCATACGTGCTCAAAATAGTCTCCAACTATCAGATTTAGCTGAGTTGGTCCAGTGTCGGGTACCATCTGTGCAGCAGATCTGGGTCTGAGTTTTTTTTGGGGGTTTTTTGTCAGTTGAGTGTGAACACCCTTTTAGTTCGCCATATGCACATTCAAACCAGCATTGACTCCCTTTACACAAGCCTGGTTGTTCATTCTTACATAAAAAATAAATGGCTTCTTTTTTTTTTTATCCTACCCAGCAAGACATTTTTTGTTCTAAAAATGTTCTGAGAACATTACCATGCAGTGTTCTAATAATGTTTTCAGCGGGTAGGTTTATTTTGGTTCCCAGAATGTTCTCCTAAAAGCTAGGATAACATTCTCTAAAAACATTCTAAATATGTTTAATGCTAACATTGTTAGAACATTATTCCCTAATGTTCTTATAACATTTTCCGCGGGTAGTTTTCTTTTTGTTCCCAGAATGTTCTTAAAAGATCGGATAACATTCTCTAAAAACATTCTAAAAATGTTTAATGCTAACATTGTTAGAACATTATTCCCTATTGTTCTTATAACATTTTCAGCGGGTAGTTTTCTTTTTGTTCCCAGAATGTTCTATTAAAAGATGGCATACAATTCTCTAAGAACACTCTAAAAATGTTTTGTGATGACCTTCTATAAAGGTTTAATCATAACATTTTTAGAACATTACATCCCCTAACATTCTTATAAAGTTTTTAGCAGGAAGTTTTATTATTGTTCCCAAAATGTTCTCTTGAACAAAAACAAAAAAAATGCTTTGCTATAACTGTTAAAACATACAATTTATTAATCTCAAAACTAAAACATCACAATCTAACAGGTTTATAAATGGCATCCACATAAATTATTAGAAGTTCTGTGTACTGTAAATGTCCAACATTACATGAATAACTCAGTAAAGTCACTCATGCGTCTTGACTGCTGTGTTTGCTCAGAGCGCTCATCATCAGTCTTTGCTTGTCTTGGTTCTTGCAGAAGAGTAATCCAGTCATCTGTATTAATAGGTGTTCTACTGTTCTCTCTTCTAGTTGTCCAGCTGCTCACCCAGTTAGCAGCATTGAGCTCTGTTCTCTGTGTGCATGGTAGAGTTTTTCCTCATAGCCTATAAAAGAAGATTGTTACGTGTCCCCATTAATAGGTCTAGAACTAATAGGGAAAGTAACATAAGTATTACATTTAGTTAAATAAATAAAAAGAAAAGAAAATAGGTTCAGTTACTGATAACTTGTGTTGAGATGAATCAGACAGAGACAGATTTCGTGAATGCTTTTTAGTAGGCCATAATTATAACCTGATGGTTTTACAGTTTCAAAGTGAAGAAATAATTATTTACAGAATATACACAAATGACAATACAAAACGTAGAACACAGGAGAAAGGGACAATGAGCGGTGCTAAAGCAAAGCAATAAGCGTCACAGCGCCCGCTGCCCACGAGGCTATTGCTCTGACATAACAGCAGTTATATTGCCTATGGATCATTACATTTCTTACAGATTTCTGCTTGTTTTAAATCAGATACAGATAAAGTAGCACTGCATTTGAATGCATTGGCGATAGAACAATTTCTAGAGCAGTGGTCTCAAACTCGCGGCCCGCGGGCCATTTGCGGCCCGCGGGGTGATATTTTGTGGCCCCCTACTTGACATTAAAGTTGAATGTTAGTGCGGCCCGTCGTTTGCGTGTGCCGCGTTTTAATTTTTTTTTTTTTATCCCTTACGGGCTACCATAGATAGTCTCGTGACAGCTTACGGTGGGTTTGTTGTCAATAGTTGTCATAGATAACCGCGAAGTACAAACATACTGCGCCTGGAAAAAATGAGCGCGTCGCTTCAATTATGAGCGCACTTGCCGCGCGCCTACATTTGAAATAGCGAACTTGAGCGCGCAAAATATGTGAGCGCGATATGTGAACGGCCCCTTGGCGAGCTACCACCAATCAGGCCACGAGCTACTGGCAGCTCGCGAGCGACGTGTTGGAGAGAGACCCTGCTCTAAAACAATGTGAGAATAATCATTTTGAGCTTGTAATATGTGTCCAACAGGTTGATAAGAAGGTTTGCTTTGATTTGTGCAGTCAGTAATTTGAGACACTATACATGTGTAAAAAGAATTCAATAAGACGGGCAGACATGACTGCAAAAATTTGTATTTCAAAAGCAATAATTGTTTTTCTAAGTATAATAAAAGGAAATGTGCCTTCCAAAAAAAACATTCAATATCATTAATGTGTTGTATAAAGAAAATAAAAAGGACATAAGCAAATATAAATATCACAAATATGTGTTATAGACAAAGAAAGTTTGTAAAATGAACTTCAACTGTCAGAAGGACAGCTCATGAAGAACCAATAATGTACAGAAAGGAATGTTCAAATTCAGAGGAACAGTTCAGAAGAAATGTTAATAATAAATATTGAGAAGATTGGATCAGTTGTGTTCCTTTTTTGGAATACTTGAATACTATTTTTTTGTGGAATACTTGATGCGGCCCAGCCTGACCCCGACTCTACCTACAGCGGCCCCCAGTTAAGTTGAGTTTGAGACCCCTGTTCTAGAGTGAATTAATCATACCTGTAAGTGTAACACAGTCTCATCCCAAGACGTCATATGACTGACGCTTTTGACCATACGTCAACATCCGACGTTTTAGGGTACCCTTTAACGTCAGTTAAATGACGATCCTAGGGCGTCATCTAACTGACGCTTTACCTTTAGCGTCAGTTAGATGACGCGGGTAGGTTTAGGTCTGGGGTAGGGTTAGGATTAGATAGCGTCATCTAACTGACGTTAAAGGGTACCCTAAAACGTCGGATGTTGACGTATGGTCAAAAGCGTCAGTCATATGACGTCTTGGGTTGAGACTGGGCTGGTAAGTGGTTTGGTTACTTCAAAAGCAGAAAGAAATATATGCTAAGCTAGTTATTTTAAAGCTAGTTATCTTAGTCAATAAAGTTTTAAATATGGATATTTTTCTTACAAAAACGCATCGATTCGCTTCAAAAGGCCTTTATGACCCCGCCAGAGCCATGTGGATTACTTTTATCATGGATGGATGCGCTTTTATAGACTTAAAACAGAAACGGCCATTCACTGCCATTATAAAGCTCGGAAGAGCCAGGACATTTTTTAATATAACTCTGATTGTATTCGTCTGAAAGAAGAATGTCATATAAACCAAGGATGACTTGAGGGTGAGTAAATCATGGGCTAATTTTCATTTTTGGATGTCTTTTGGATGAGATCCTTTATGGTCTGTGTTAGGTGCTTTTAGCACTAAAGCTCTAGGAGTTAAAAGTTGAAAATGTTTGTCTCAGAAATCAGAATAATAATATTGATTATTAATATTGAAACAATATGTTGGCTTTCTTAAACCAACAACATTTTTTCCTAACATTTAAACAAGATTACTATAATCTGTACTATAATATAAAGGTGATTCTATGAAGATTTACAACAAAAGTTACAAAACCACTTACCAGTTACAAGGCTCTTTAGCTCCCATATCCATTCACCTCTGCAGGTTTATGTTTGCTTCAATAGTTGCCAGATTGTGTCCTTTACATTGTGACCATCAGCACCAGAGTAATTACCTGAAATATTTTAAAACATGGTCTGTCAACAACATACGATGATATTACAAGCACATACCATATTTGCTAGAAACACAAAAAACTGAAAACGTTTTAGACTGAATGCTCTTTCCAATTTTCCCATTACCTCTTTAGGAATTACTGAAATATTATTAAGTTTTACTTTCAAAAGACATATTAAGATTAACACTTTTAAGTAGCAAAAATAGCATTCGTATGCATAGAACACAATATTATAGTAGGCTACCTTTGTTGTAAATGGAGACTTTATTGCGTCATCGGTGTTATAATCATCTTGAAACAGGCAGTTTGGAGTCTGCATTAAAACAAATCTAGCTGTTATTCAAAAGTAACATATAGTCAGATTTAATGTGACTGTCATACAATTCTAAGAAAGTAAGATCTAACACATGAAAGACATTGCTATCAAGGATAAGAGAAAGCTATATGTAAACTGAAAAAAAAAAGAAACATACAGTTGTGAAAGAGTTCAGTTCTGTTGACCAGCAGTTCTGTTGTTTGGGCCAATGTGTCAAATAGCCAATTTAGACAACGGACATTTTGCGCCGATTTCTTCAACAAAAACGTTACTTTCTTTGCGCTTTTTTGTCGATTTCAAATTGTCATACGTCATAGGGAAATAACACTGTGATTGGTGGTTTTAAACGTCGATCTACAGTAGCCCCCAATCAGCTTCTCATCTCTTGTAAACGCATTTCACGCAACAGTTCACACAGTTCAGAGTAATATCCTCAAAACACTTCACGAATGCTGTTTTGATAATGTTCCTCTTTTATTATGGAACATTATTCCAATATTTTATAGGTTAAAATAATTCTACAATCTGTTACCTAAACAGCTTCCCTAAAATATCCTTAAAATGTTATGAGCTTTTGTTAACACATTTGATGAAACATTTGATGAATGTTGCTTTGATAATGTTCCTATTGTGCCAATGATTTATAAAAGATAACAACATCCCTAAAAAATCCTCAAAATGTTTCATGCAAAATTTTCAACTTTTGTTAAAAAGTCAATTGAAAGGAATGTTTTATTAAAAACATTTTATCATCTCAGGACTAAATAATATCCTCAAAACATTTGATAATGTTCCTCCTCTGTTAGTATGGAACATTGTGCCAATGTTTTTCTGAGAACATTGTGTAATCTCAACAACATGCTCAAAATGTTACATTTAAAATGTTCTAGTTTTGTTAACACGTCACATTACAAGAACATTTTATAAAAAACATTCGTCATCTCAGGCCTCAATGATATCCTCAAAACATTTTACGAACGTTAATTTTATAATGTTCCTCCTCTGTTATTATGGAACATTGTGTCAATGTTTTATAAAAGATCATTCTACAAACTTTTTACCTCAACAACATCCTGAAAATGTTACATTTAAAATGTTCTTGTTTTGTTAACACGTCACATTACAAGAACGTTTTATAAAAAAACACTGTCATCTCAGGCCTCAATGATATCCTCAAAACATTTTGCGAGCATTGATTTGATAATGTTCCCCCTCTGTTATTATGGAACATTGTGCCAATGTTTAATTGAGAACATTGTATAATCTGTTATCTCAACAATATTCCCAAAACATCCTCAAAATGTTACAGTTAAAACCTTATATCATAGTTTACATTTAACCTTATAGGAACATTATTTGAAATGAGAAAACATCATTAAAACATTCTTTGAATATTACATTCAAATGTTTTCTTTAAAACATTAACCAAACTTGTAGGGAATGTTAGCCAAAGTTAGCTGGGTAGTCTCTGTTCATCAAGAACCAGAGCCAGAATCTCTTTTTGTTATCTGCAGAGGGATTTACTAAAGTGGGTCATATGAAGGAGCACACATTAATTTATTTTTCATGAACCCTTTGGGAGTAGTGCAGCGATCCATTAATAATTCTAGACCGTGTATACAATGGCTGCATTGTACCCTGGCTCTCACATACTTTGTGAGTAAGTACATACATAAGTTTGTGTACTTTATGCATATACGTATGGTGAAAATGTAATCATTTATTATGGTTGCAATGTGTTCTTGTGGTTTTTTTAGCTCATTGTGCGTTGCACTGTTGGCCTTGTGGAGTGGCACAGTTGGTCAAGATTCGTTGGCTCGTCCCAGTGTGTGAAAGTGGCACCCCCGTGGTCGCCCAGTGCATGGAAGTGGCATTGCTTCGGCAGTCAATAGTATGAATAATTTATAGCGGGACTAGGTGAAAGCCTTGTTCTGCATCATCTTCAGCCTGTTCTGCAAATTAGCATTTGGAGAGCTGTCTGCCTTTGTCAGGGATTTCTGCTCGGTTTTATGAACATTCAAAAAACCCTTCAGAGTCCTTCTCAAGGAATTGTTTTATCATTGCCTGCTTTGAGAGTTTGAGATCTCATTAATTAGTCTGGCCGATCTGGGTGGTAAAGGGGAACAGGCGAGTCGGTTGCATCACGGACTTCGATTGGCTGAGTCCTCCTGAGGCCAGCTGTTGTCTGATTGACTGAATTCAAAGCTCTCCACAACTTAGCCAGGAACAATATTGAAGCATAAAGCGGACACATGCGATGGCGCCATACGCTTTGAGTTCACCGAGGGGGCAGCATGGCCCGCTGGGATTGGCTCTCGTACCACTTAATGTAATGAGGTGAAAAACATTTGCTTACATTTGTGAAAACAACTTAGGGTGTATTCACACCAGGAAAGTCCGATAGTTCACTTGCTTTGGTCCGGACCAAATAATGTTTTTTTTTTTTTTTGGTACGGTTCGCTTTCACACTGCTCTTTTTGCAAGTGAACCAAAAATTGTAAACAAAACCACACGTGTGCTAAGGTCGTCCATTCATTGGACAAGGATTCTCAAGTAGGGAAATCAGGAAGTGCAAAAAAGGCTCAGCATGGAGATATTTCGTACTGCAATATTTGTTATTTTACTAATTTTGTGTTATTCTGTACAAACGCAATATGAAGAAACTGCGCAGAAGACGGATAAGGTATAAAGTTTTGATTCATAGAGAGGGGCTATGTTCACACATTCAAATAATGAGAATCTTATTGTATATACTGCTAACAAGTGCTGTCAATGTTAACGCTTGCGATTAAGTTTGTCCAGTTTAACGCAGCATCATCCTTGTAAATCGTTACATTATATGAACTGCAAAAGCTTTTTTTGCATCTATGCGCGATTAGACTAAAGAGAACGCTCTGTTTGTGAATGTCCTGATGCACACACTCATTCATTCATTCCATTCCAATGATGCACACACGACGCGCAGAAAGACGCGCAACATTATCGTGTGGCCAGACAGCGCGTATTGAACAACAATAACACAAACCATTATGCCAAAATCTCCGACTACGGAAGCCTGTTAACCCAAAGGCGCAGTGCTTTCTTGCAATTGGGTCGGTTCATGTTCACACCGTAAACGAACCGTACCAGAGTTCGTTTGGAACCGTACCGAGACCACCTCTTCAGCTGGGTCTCGGTTCGGTTGTTTGGTCCGCACCCGAGTTCGATTGCTGTATTCACACCTGCCCAAAAGGTCCGCACCAAAGGGGGAAACGAACTAGAGTTCGATTCAATCGAACCAAACAAGGCAGGTGTTAATACGCCCTTAAATATAATATTGGTCAAATAAAGGAGAACGCTGGCTGGTACAAGCATATTTTAATTTACTTATTTTTGTGTTAATTTACTTGGTTGTTTATTTAGTACTTACTTGCTTATTTTTCCAAGCCTGAGAATCAATTTATAAAATTATAATATAAAAATTAATTTTAATTAATTTTATTATACTAATGCCCTGTTTCACAGATAAGGCTTAAGCCTAGACCAAGACTAAAATGCATGTTTGAGCTGTTTTAACTGAAAGCAACTTGCACTGACATATCTTAAAATATGTCACTGCCATTGTTTTGTCTCAAGATGCACACCAGTAATAATGTTTTTTTTCTAAGGCATGTTTATAAAAGCTACTTAAATGTTCTAATTTAACTAAGTCTTACTCATGGCTTAATCTAAGCCCTGTCTGTGAAACCAGGCCTTTATATATTTTTTAATAAAATAAAGAACCTTATTGGTCATGGAAGTATAAAATTGATTCCCAGGCCTGGAAAAATAAATGAATATATACAAAGTCATGGAAATTTTTGTAAGGAATAAACACAATGATAATAATAATAATAATTATTATTACTATTATTTCATAAGTTATGCTTGTTTTTATATTTGATGAGCTTGAAATTGTTCTTTGTGAGTGCAATTTCTTTTGAATTATTTTTATTTTAAAGTAAATTAAGTATCTGAATGACTGGCAAATTCATGGAAACATGTAAATTCATTGATCAAAAGGTGTAGCAAACCTGTTTTCTAAAGCCAAAGGGCTCTGTTGTATGTATAGCTGAGAATGTGTATCATATTCACCAGAAAAGCTTTATTGGGGCTGGCACTCTGACCGAGACGACTTAACACTAAGCGCTTTCGGATACAATACATATCTCCCAATCGTTCCTCTGACCAAGAGAGGGATTGTGTACTACAAGGGAACAGCTTTTATTTCTTGACAAACGAGGTCATAGCACAAGATTGCTACCACTGCTCTTTTTACTCTGCCAGTGGGATTTTTCTTATTCCTTGAGAATTAGCTCCCGAGCTGCATTGCTCTTTGGGCCCAGGATAAATGAAAGCTCGATCAGTCTTGATTCAGGCACTGGCTGGAGTCGGTGGAATAAATGAACCCTGATAATTCAATCCCTCCAGCTCCTGTTGTGCGCTTCCTCCCCCCTGGTTTGAGCATTAGTACCTGCTCCTCACAGCCAATTTTAGATGTCTGCTTTGATTGCAGCAGCTGATGGAATCCCCACATATTTATATAAGTTCATAGCTTGAACTGCCGCTGTAAAGCCATAGCTTGCGGATATAAAATATATATATATATATATATATATATATATATATATATATATATATATATATATATATATATATATTAAAAAATATATATGTTTTTTTTTTTTTTTTTGCCATTTAAGATTGCTACGTAATTTGGAATTACTCCTTGTTTCCTCTTTAATTTATTCACATTAAAGCTTTCATAATTTGACCATTGAAAGCTAACCTGTAGGGCTCATTAGCAATGGGCATGTCAGAAAACTGGTCGTTTAGTTTCTGATATCGGATGTAGATTGCAAAGTCTTTTATTGCGTGATTGCAAAGTCAGAGCATCCATGCAGCCTCCCAGGGCCTGAAGTCCAGCAATTTGGAGAACGGCACGGCTTGTTTGTTTGCAGAGCTCGTCTGATGGCGGATGTCCTCCTATGCTCTGATTGTGCTGAGGCCAGAAAATCAGTAG